ATATTGCTAAAAGCGGCGTAAAACCAGAGTCACTCACCTACTTTTTATGACATCACTGAACTTGTGTATTGGAGTAGGCTTCATAACATTGCATGAATTTCCTTATATTGGTTGGACGCCTCCAGCAAATCAAATCAGGCTGAATTTTCTCTCAGGTGAAATTCCTCTCTTATAAAAATAAACTTGGAATATTAAAAAAATACTTTCAGCCATTGCGATGTTTAGATTCTTTGCATTCCGGTGATTCCAAAGTGACCCAATCGGAGATAGCTGTAGCAAATCAGAACCATGTGACTCATGGTAGGTAAATCCAAAATAAGTTCGTCCTGGCTTCTAATGCTCAAAACAAATTTCCTCTTTCTATAAATCGATCATCATCATTCAAAATGGCGCCGTACTTATTAGCGTGAGCGTATCTGCAACTAATTTAGTCGTGTCATTCCAGCGAAGCCGGATGGCTTCGTGTAAAGTCACAAAGAAAGCGAGTAGTTATGAATGATGCGCAGAGAGATCCTGAATCAGAGAAGTTTGATGGCATTTATTGTGGCAAAATATTAACCCCTTTTTAATATTTTGATGGCGAAAAATGGAGCTTACTTGTAGGTATATACGTACAAAGAATTCATTCATATTAACTTTTTGTGCGCAATAATCGTGCGCGAAAGTGGGACAAAGGATCTTGCTAGCGGGCTCATTTTGGGTAGACATGGCAAAAGACCTTTGATATGAAATGTCATATACCGTAGAGAGTGTAGATCCACTTTACTTTTTGTCCTGATGGTTTATTAAATGACCATTGAAACTCTCGTGGAAACCGGTGAAATGAACTGTGCACCCCTACCCCGCGCCCCTTTCTATGTCTAATCGAAGCAAGTCTCTAATAGAAACGGGGTATGGTCATCGTGATGCTCTTGGAATCCGGCTTCAACCTCCCAAATCATCACGTCAGTCCATCTGTAACTACATTCTTAATTTACTCACGTGCCTCCAACGTTGCCCTTTAAAAGCCTGAATTTCACACACTGAATTTCTTAGCTGGCTGACATGACGCGTCATAACATTTCTGAATTTCTTTATGTATTGTGTTTCATAACATTACTGAATTTTCGTTATTCTATAACGTTTCCATAACATTACTGAATTTCGTTATTCTCCTAACGTTTCATAACATTACTGAATTTCGTTATTCTATAACGCGGTTTCATAACATAACCGATATTCACTGAATTGCATAACATTTCATAACATTTGGAAATTCTGTATTGCATCACGTTTCATGACGGGACAGATTTTATTTATTACATAGCGCGTTAGTTCCGTTATAAATATCTTGACACAGATCTATGCTTTTCGTACGTTCCCCATGCTTGGGGAGTCGCGGACAGCTGGTAACGAGGGCGATAACTGCGGAGTAAGACGCTTCCGTGATGACGTCACACAGCCATGACCCAGTATCCGTATTAATGGCGGTAGCTTTTCACTAAAAGCGGTCAAGAGCCTTGTGGTTGATGTAAACGTTACTGTCAACCACCGACTTCTCTTTATGATCTACCCGTGAAGATCCGGGTTAGAACTGATCTTCCGTAGCCCATGGTTGTCGTAAGAGGCGACTAACAGGATCAGGTGGTCAGACTCGCTCGCTTGGTTGACACATGTCATCGGTTCCCAATTGCACAAATCGATGCTGATGCTTGTTGATCACTGGATTGTCTGGTCCAGACTCGATTATTTACAGACCGCCGCCACATGGCTGGAATATTGCTGAGTGCGGTGTAAAACTAAACTCACTCACTCTTGGTAGATGTCCCTTTAACCCTAGTAGTAGTAGAGGGCCCATCCTCCTGGGCCGTGTTCGAATCGGGATTCGACCCTTAATGGATCCTTGGTTTAAAACACGACTAGCTGTGTCAGGCTTGATATTACTGGAGTTAGTGAGTTGGAATGGGGTTTAATACCGATTTGAACAGTATTGCGGATTCAGACACTGACTACTCCCGGGTCCCCACGAAACACGGGTCATAACTGGGTGGATCTGAAATTCAAATATTTTTCATCTGAATATGATCCAAGACACTGTCTCTCCAGAAGACATTGTTACCATATTTAAAAATAGCCTAAGGATGAACAGTGTGGGTGAGCGACTGATGGAACCATTCTGGCTCGGTGGGATCTAGTTCGTATCCCGACTTCCCTGATTGTGTTTGTCGGTTTGTCGGTACATACGAATGCTCGTTCGTTCTTGGGGGTAGCCTAGTGGTTAAGGCGTTCGCTCATCACATCGATGAACCGGGTTCGATTACCCACATGGGCACAATGTGTGAAGTCAATTTCTGGTGTCTCCCGCCGTGTTACAGTTGGAATATTGCTAAAAGCGGCGTAAAAGTAAACTCACTCACTCACTCACCTTCATGGAAAACGTCTGAGACATAACCTTGTCTTTTCATCCCACTTCAAGCTTACGCGCCCCGGTTAAAATAAAATCGACGTTAAACCGAACTCACTCACTCAGTCATAGCCTGCAGTTGTTTACGCATTACTACAGTTCCTGCTGTAGTCAAATATCGTCGCCTACTTTCCTGTCAGAGATCGGCTGGAGAAACTTGAGACGCGGAACTGCAACAAAACGCGGGAAGCACTTGTACATTTCTTTGAGTGGCATTTTAGAACTTGGGAAGTAAAATAATGACAATTATATGGATATCAGCTTTCTGTATTTTGTGTACAACGTTTCGGTATTGATTCTTTGGGACATACCTGCTAGACAACGATACAAGAATCTGTACCGAAACGTCGCACTCACAAAAAAATATAAATATATATTTGCATGGTACCTCGAGCGATGTGATATCAAACGAGAAAATTCGTAAAATCCTATGTCAATTTCTTAATCTTAACCTCCTCCTCCTCATCATCATCATCATTATCATCATCATTATCCATTTTTATTCCATCATTGAATAGTACCTTAGTGAATGAGTGAGTGAGTTTAGTTTTACGCTGCACTCATCAATATTCCAGCTATATGGCGGCTGTCGGTAAATAATCCAGTCTTGACCAGACAATCCAGTGATCAACAACATGAGCATCGATCTACACAATTGAGATACGATGACATGTGTCAACCAAGTCCCAAGGCTGTCCACCCAATCCTGTTAGTCGCTCTTACGACAAGCACGGGTTTAAGAAGATCAATTCTAATCCGGATCTTCACGGGTCGAATAATGCCTTGAATTTGGCGGCTATGTGAATGAGAAAAATTATGTAGCAATATTCCAGCAATACCGCGGCAGAATAACAAAGTATGTTTTTCACTCATCCAATACCGGTAGGGAGGCGTTACTGGTAGACTGCCCCTCTGTTTGACGCTGGTACAATATATTGGAATCCCTCTGACGTCCTGGTGTGTTTCTATTTTAGTCTTTACGTCCATGGGCCACACAACATTATCTACAGCCCGGGGCCCAGTCTGAAGATTACCTTCACTTCCGGGATCTCTACCACTAGGGGGCGCGGCTTCCGCATAAATGTTCTCTACGGCAAGAACAAACGTAAGTTATATATATCAGCAAGGGGACATAACTCATTCTTTTATTCTTTTAATTTCCAATAGAAGTAAATACATTCATTTATCTCATTTACATTGACATATTGCAGATTATCAATGTGAAAGCTGAACCTTTATCCTAGTTTCGGAAAACTAATGCAAACTAATACCTCTCTGCAGTGTATGGTGTTTTAGTTACATCACTTCCGGTTTAGCTGCACCGTTTATAATGCTTATGATGAAGACAGGAACCTGTCGTGCTGCATTTATTTAGATGATTTAAATCTAGGGCATTATGTTGTGTACATCAAGACTTAACGATTTCCTTTTTCTTCTTCAGATGACCTTGACCGCCAGTTTCGGCGTGCCCCAATTCCGCCCCCACAACAGGGTCACAAGGTACATATGTGGTATTTCCCGATGTTAGTTCTTTTTGTACATATCGCCATACGTTTTCTTGTTATTGAAATTGAGATAAGTGAATTCTGTTTAAATTAATTGAAGAAATATTTAATTTAAGTTGTACCACGACCCGAAAATAAAGTCGCTGTTCTGAAAAGAATTGGTAATAGGTATGAAATAATGGATACTGCAGTATCTGAAACTAAACTGAAGATTCCCACGAATCTTCTTTAGGTTGTTCTGGAATTATGGCACGTTTAAGCCAACAGTTGTGTATGTACATCATGGATCACACCCATGATGATGCGGGTTAGAATGAACCTTCAGTAACCCATGCTTGTCGATCATAAAAGGCGACTAACGAGATCGGGTGGTCAGGCTCGCTGGCTAGGCTGACACATGTCATCGGTTCCAAATTGCTAAGATCGATGCTCATGCTGTTGATCACTGTATAGTCTGGTCCAGACTCGATTATGTACAGATCGCTGTCATATAGCTGGAATATTGCTGGAATATTGCTGAGTGTGGCTTTTAAACAACAAGCAAACAATGCCTCAGAGTCAAATAATAATCCATGATATATAGGTACACGTTATTTCTCATAGGTCCGTCGTTTATATGTTTTCATTTTGAATATTAATGCTCTCATTATGTATAGGACATTCAAAAAGGAAGTCAAATTCGTTTTCCACATGTAATATAATTGAAAATGTATAATGTTGTCTTGGTGGGGTAGCCTAGAGGTTAAAGGATTCGCTCGTCCACCTGAAGACCGGAGTTCGACTTCCAATATGTGTACACAATTTGAAGACAATTTCACCCTTGCTTATGTTACTGAAATAGAATTAGTAGAGTAAAGCCTCACTCACTCACTCACGATTTTCTTCAGATCCGGCCTCCTTCATGCCCCTGCTGCTGGCTATAGCAATGGGAACTCTGTTTCTGTTCGTCTCTGTCTTCATCTGGGTAGCTTGTCGACGTCATCGACGACAACGTCAAATACGTCAGCAACAGGAAGTCTCGCTCAGCGTCAACGTACACGGTATTCGCCGAGATTCCGGCGTCAGTACACACGGAAGGCCTCTACCAATTCTCAGTTAGATGACGCGCTTCCCGCCAAGAAAACAAACAAAGTCGTGAGAACAAATAGCAACCGATCGTGGGCGGTCCGAGCGGAGTTGACGTCAACGACTACAACAGCACCCAGTAATAGTGACGGCCACCCCGTACCGTGCATAATCTGTACACTCCAATGGAAAAACTGGAAATGCTTAAAGCTAAACAGATGCGTGAAGGTCAAAGGTCAAACTAAGGTTGAGAATCAGACCCTGCCACGCGACAGAGTAGGAACGCTGGAGAGAGTGCCGGAGAACACTTTAATGATGAAAATACCCACGTCAGGATTCGAACCCGACCAGGACGATGGTTACCTTGGTCCATCTGTCGCACCCAAAGTAACCACTTCATATCTGCATTTGCCCGTCACTCTCAGTCCTGATCTCAGCAACGCCAGGTTTGGTTCAGTTTCTTCAACTGGAAGCTGCGACGGCGGCTACCACAACTTCACCGTCGTCGGCCGTGTAGACCTGGTGTAGAAGTTGTATCTCTACGTGGCTAAGAAAAGCCACCTATCCGTCGAAATGGTTTCTCTTCACGGCCATCCAGATCATCTTGGCTCATTTCGGAGTATTTCCGTAACTGCACGATTAGTTCACAAATGCAACAGGATTTGGACAGGGTTTATCACACCATGGTGTGCGTGTGTATTTTAATCTTATAAAACTGGATTGCACACAATGTAATCGTGACACTGGCCATTAAAACGCCCTTGAAATGCGTCTGATGTCGCCAAGCCAAGGAGTATACCTGGATACGGTAATGGTCAATGTGACGAAATGACGGGAAGCCGCAGTGACGAAGTGACGGGGATGTCTTCTCATATGAAGGCAATAGGCTAAACTACGGCTCCACGTTACCTGGAGGTCAGTACCAAAAGGCTGTCGCTTTAGGGCAGAAACCGTACCATCGCTGGTGAAGTTGCATCTTGGTAAAGAGGACTACAAGTGTCCACAACGTTCAGGACCATGGCATATACTGTTATATCCAATCCGCGGTGTTATAATTGATCGTAAAGTTACCGTTATCTATGTTGAAGGTACCGTTATACTGACAGTGACAAGACGGATGTGTGTGTTTGACGAGGACCTTAAAGGCTGAATAGCAGGTGTTAAATTGTAAATGTACATCAGTATGCCATTCCTGTGTAATTACTCTTGGATCATTTTACCTGTATGATACTTCTTTGTTTCCTTGCTGATAAACTCGACATTCAGCAACATTCGAAAGCAACACCTGGTCCAGTCAATCCAGTGATTGAAATCGTAAGCATAGATCTCCATGGGGATAAGACAACATTCATGAGCCAAGTCAGAAAAGCCCACCGCTTATCCCGTTACGCGCCTGTTACGACAAAGTCTAGTTGGTGAGAGACCCGGATCTCCACGGACCTGCCTCCACCTACAAACTCTGGTGTGATATCATTGGATGATGGGTCATATGTTTCCCTATGCATTATGTTCGCCAAGGAACAATCAGGTGGATGTGCTGTGTGTTCCACACACGGTTTGAAGTTGAAATCAGTGAAATCCCCGAAAATATTTGCTTCCATTATTTAAATTCTCAAGAGAACTCTCAAGCACTCGATCGTCACGCCGAATACCCGGGTTCGATTCCCCACATGGGTACAATGTGTGAAGCCCATTTCTGGCGTCCGCTCTTGCTAAAAGCGGCGTAAAACTAAGCTTATTAAAAGCTAAATTTGTCTCATGTCATTTGTGGTTCTTTGTTTGGTCTGTTTACATGTTTATTGTTCATTATAACTTGTTTTATTATTAATCATTGATATGTGAATAAATTTTGAGTCTATTTTTCCAAAATTTCGTCCCCGTTTCATTGGTTCTCACTTTCGGTTCTCACTTTTCGAAATATATTCGGTCACAGAAACAATTCCTGCCAGTGACTGTGGTATTACAGATAGACATCGACCGTTACTCAAAGGCAGGAATACCTGAAGTAACATGTGACTTTGAGTTCTGGATGGTAATATGAGTGGTCCAGCATTATAAATCAATCTCCCTCTCTTCATCTCTTGATCTCTCCTCCGATCTCTTTCTCGCCATAGCTCGCTGGGCCAGACCAGATTCGATTTTACATACGGTTACAATGTGTGATGCCCATTTATGGCACATCACGTCGTGATATTGATGGAATGGTACTAATAATCCCCCCAAACAGAGATTGAAATACCATATAATAACACTGATAAAACACATGACACGTGAACAAATATAGCGTTTTATTGTTAAATGGCGGACTCTGAGTGACTGACAGCCTCCGTGAACACTACCAACAACAAGACTCTGGTTGAATGTACAAAACCACAGTCCATATTGGCCATCGGGCCATGCCTTCTGCATGAGCAGTTTACAGTAAAGGCCGTCATAGAGTGTAGCAAGCAAGGGAGGAGGTCAAATACCCGGGGAGCCAAAACAGGCGCAGCTAGAGATTTTTGCTTAAAAGGACCATATATGGGTGAATGGAATGAATGAATTATTAATCAACATAACCAAAGAACGTTGATAGCACAAACAGACAAAGACTATAAGATGATGTCACAGTAATCTCCAGGATTGGAATATGTGTTAAGAAGTTTATGTAGGCTACTATCATCCAGTGATGTACTGCAGCTGGTGATAAAGATTATCTAAATATATCAAGCGTCGCTGCAGCATTTGAAAAAGCGGAAGTGAATTTGTGATTTGGCAATTTCCGTAAACTAACCGTGTAATTTTTTGGAAGGTTCAAATAGCTTAGTCACAGTTTAAGCTGAGTACACCTGATCACCTGTGTGTATTGAAGTCGAGTACACCCACATTAATCCCACATCCCACATCCACCTTATAGCCTCATCTTTGACAGATACACATCTGGGGCCGTGTATGAATTTTGCCACGGCGTCGCCTGATCAAATGACAGTAAGTTGTCCTCTAGTTACAAATAAACAACGTCAGTAGCTGTATAACTTCAATGTTTTGCACTAGTTTCCTATGGTACCTAAAATACACTATGAGGACAGATGTTTAGCACATCCGGTTCTGGACTTCCGGTTACTCCGGGGCACCTAATGAGTTCAATTTACTAAAAACACAATGCCAATAAATAAATAGAAAGAAACAGTTGATTGGGACAAATGTATCACATTTGAATAATATGTTCAAGTTATTTTTGTTTCTTTTTCTCTTCCTCTTTCTTCTTCGCCTCCTCTCTGACTTTCATTTTGTTGTGTATAATTTGGAGCTCAGTTTCTGCTTTCGCGTTCCACTCGTCGGGATCCAGGGACCTGTCAACATTAGCTCAACCAGCTCTTCCAGATCCATGGGTTCAACATCCGGCCGGAACCGGAAGAGTGGGCGGCCATTGTGGTCAATGAGAAGCTTCTCGAAGTTCCATGAAATGTCGTTCACCTTGATAGGATCCCAAAATGACTCGCTTCTGTCGTAAGAAGCGTCCAGAGAGAACAGGACAAGAATCACGACAACAAAATTAAGGTGTTGATGAGAAGTAAAGGTGAAGTCGGACGAAATTATTACAGACTACCATTAAATGTCGGCATACCCGAGGTGTTCAGAACTGTGATGTAATGTGATATCCTCGCGTAACCCATTTGTACGACTTTGAGGCCATTCACCTTCAGGTCCCCTGTATACTGTCTGTTGAGTATATCAATGTGGACTCACCTTCAAGGTATCTATTAGATTGTCTGTTGAGTATATCAATGTGGACTCACCTTCAGGTATCTGTAGATTGTTTGTTGAGTATATCAATGTGGACTCACCTTCAGGTATCTGTAGATTGTCTGTTGAGGGTATATCAATGTGGACTCACCTTCAGGTCCCTGTAGATTGTCTGTTGAGTATATCAATGTGGACTCACCTTCAGGTATCTGTGGACTGTCTGTTGAGTACATCAATGTGGACTCACCTTCAAGGTATCTGTAGAGGGCTGTTCGTCCTCGCCATTGACGTGAATCTTCATGTGTAGTGTGAAGTGAGGCGTGTAGTTCATGCCGGGGCGGACATACCAGGAGTCCAGCTAGTAACTCAGTCTTGTTGGCGCCTGGTTCCTGGTGTGCGAACTGGTCACAGGGGAAGCCCACGATAGAAAGATGACTCCATGAAATTATCAGCTAGTACATTCAACTGCCAGTACTGAGGGGTAAACTCTGTGGACATTGAAGTGAGTGAGTGAGTCAGTTTACTTTTGCGCTGCTTTTAGCAATATCTAGCAATAACTTTCCATGTTTAATGTCAGTCATGGTTGATCATTAACGTAATGTTACAAAACACTTGAAAGTATGAAAGTTTACCCATCAAGTCCTTTCTCATAAAAATCAGTTGAGTCTGGTATGCAATATCTTAATCCAATTCTTGACGTAAAATTTAATACTTCTGGACTTTGGGGACTTAGAAACATATCGGTAATAGCCATATGGCTTAAACTGCTAAAAGCTATATTTCTATCTCGGTATCAATGGTTTGGAAACATTTTTGAAAATTATCAGATATAATAGTTGAAAAATGTATTTGAAAATAAAATTGATGTTATTGATCATTTTGAAGAAAATGGCCAGCACAGTTATAAATAGTTACGAGTGCAATGGAAGAAAGCCTCCTGTTCTTACACTGAATGAGTGAGGTGAGTGAAGGTTCACTGCGCTTTTAGCAACTTTTAGCATAACACGGCAGGGGACACCAGAAATGGGCTTCACACACTGTCCATGTAGAGAATCGAATTATGTGACCTGCAGAACGCTTTAACCATGAGGCCACCACACCGCCCCTCTTACTCTGGATATCATTTAAAATGCGTTGTATGTATGCCTACCGGATTTTATAGAAATATATTAATAAGATAAATAATACCATCAGCCATATGTTACAACACTTGTTATTATGCCAGTGACAATACATTGTTGTATACAGTAGCTAAATTGTATACAGGTAATAAACAGGTAACCCAGGGCATTGGGCATGTACTGTAGGCAGCTGTATCTCGAGCCTTCCGGTAATTAGATTGAATGGTTTAATATGTGCATGTTTGGGTTTTGGGTTTTAGTCGGACAGTTATTGAACAATTGTGGATGTGAATTATATCATCAAAATGCTGACCAAGACTTTTGTAATGCACAGCTGCATATTTGAGTTACAGACATGTGACGTGATGACGATTACTTACATATTGCTATATGAAGGTTCTCTCTAGTTCTCAGTGACTACATCTAGTCAGGTGTGCAGTATTTACTATACACAGGTAGACACACACACATCTGTCTGGTGGGCAGTATTAACTATACACAGTGTAGACAGACACACAAGTCAGGTGGGCAGTATTTACTATACACAGGTAGACAGACACAAGTCAGGTGTGCAGTATTTACTATACACAGGTAGACAGACACAAGTCTGGTGAGCAGTATTTACTATACACAGGTAGACAGACACAAGTCAGGTGGGCAGTATTTACTAAACAGGTAGACAGATCAGGTGTGCAGTAAGTCACACAGGTGGAATTGAGCAGTCATTTACTATACACAGGGTAGACAGACACAAGTCAGGTGGGCAGTATTTTACTAAACACAGGTAGACAGGTGTGCAGTATTTACTATACACAGTAGACAGAGGTGGTGTGCAGTATTTACTATACACAGGTAGACAGACACAAGTCAGGTGGGCAGTATTTACTATACACAGGTACACAGGTATTTACTATACACAGGTAGACAGACACAAGTCAGGTGTGCAGTATTTACTATACACAGGTAGACAGACACAAGTCAAGGTGTGCAGTATTTACTATACACAGGCAGACAGACACAAGTCAGGTGTGCAGTATTTACTATACACAGGTAGACAGACACAAGTCTGGTGGGCAGTATTTACTATACACAGGTAGACAGACACAAGTCAGGTGGGCAGTATTTACTATACACAGGTAGACAGACACAAGTCTGGTGGGCAGTATTTACTATACACAGGTAGACAGACACAAGTCAGGTGTGCAGTATTTACTATACACAGGCAGACAGACACAAGTCAGGTGTGCAGTATTTACTATACACAGGTAGACAGACACAAGTCAGATTGTGGCAGTGCATTTACTATACACAGGTAGACAGACACAAGTCAGGTGGGCAGTATTTACTATATACAGGTAGACAGACACAAGTCAGGTGTGCAGTATTTACTATATACACACAAGTCTGGTAGACAGACACAAGTCAGGTATGCAGTATTTACTATACACAGGTAGACAGACGACAAGTCAAGTCAGGTGTGCAGTATTTACTATACACAGGTAGACAGACACAAGTCAGGTGGGCAGTATTTACTATACACAGGTAGACAGACACAAGTCTGGTGTGCAGTATTTACTATACACAGGTAGACAGACACAAGTCTGGTGGGCAGTATTTACTATACACAGGTAGACAGACACAAGTCAGGTGGGCAGTATTTACTATACACAGGTAGACAGACACACAAGTCAGGTGGGCAGTATTTACTATACACAGGTAGACAAGACAGACACAAGTCACAGGTGGGCAGTATTTACTATACACTATACACAGACAGACAGACACAAGTCAGGTGTGCAGTATTTACTATACACAGGGAGACAGACACACAAGTCAGGTGGGCAGTATTTACTATACACAGGTAGACAGACAAAAGTCAGGTGTGCAGTATTTGCTATACACAGGTAGACAGACACAAGTCAGGTGTGTAGTATTTACTATACACAGGTAGACAGACACAAGTCACACAAGTCTGGTGTGCAGTACTTTACACATGGGTAGACAGACACAAGTCTGGTGGGCAGTATTTACTATACACAGGTAAACAGACACAAGAAGCTCTATGTGCATGGCAGTGGTAGTGGTTTCTGTGTTGGTACCCTGAACCAGGCTCTTACGCAACGCACAAATGTGCATCTTGTTTGCTCAATTGTTGAGAATGGGCACAGAAAACCCAAAATATCACTTCTGGAGAGAGGCACAAAAATACCGAGAACGTACCTTTAATGCATCAAGGGTAGATATCTGTGTCTGTTATTTCACCCATCAGTCATGACCACTCTCCACATGATCACTGATTCATTCCAGGCTCTGCAGTAATTATGCAAACGTACACTACACCACTTCCATACTTTACAGGACCCTCATGTCACCAGCAAGGACCCGTAAAATATAGTGATGGGGTCCCTGGACCCGAACCTTTTGTAAGGCTAGATGATAAGGGCAGGGTTTACCTTGACATACAAAGGTGGGGGTCTCCCAGATTCATTGTAAGGGTAAAACCTGCCCTGAGCACCTAGCCTTACCTTAGCTAAGCTGAAGGAGAGGTATTTCTGTTTTGCCATGATGATTATGATGATGATGATGATGATGATTATGATTATGATGATGATGATGATTTGGAGATTTAATGTGAGCTTTCCGACAGTACACGGTGTTTTTCCAATTCTGACAAAGGCTTATATACCGGTATTTAAGTTCATCTGAGATGGATTAAGTCATAAATATAAACAACAGTAATAAAAAGAAGTGACATAGTTTCACAGTGTGTTCAGTATGGGGATTATCTTCTTAAAACTAATGGCAAGTAAATGATTCCACATTGGTGTTTGGTCATAAAATTGGGCTATGCCATAAACAGGAAGTTGTTATCCATAAAGAATGATTCATGTTTTATTGATTCACCAACTTCTAGAATGCCAGTTAAGACGAGAATTAAATTAAGTTGAAAGCAATTTATATTTTTCTCTATAAAGTTGCAGCACTAGTTGTGCACATGTCACCTTCTTTGGTGAAATATCAACTAGTTATCCTACTGGGCTGATCCCAACGGGGGTTGCGGGGGTGCGCATCCCACTTCTCCCCCGAAACATTTTTCTCAGGAGCATTTCTCCCTAACTTTTGGACTTCATGATTAATGTGAAACACACACCCACTGCTCCGGATTAATCCTGGTTTATATTGAAAACTAACAGAGTTAGTCCTGGTTTATATTGAAAACTAACAGAGATATCATGTCTCAGTTTACCATGGACACCCTGCCCAGACACCCTTAAGCCGACCAATTATATCCTCACAGCCGCAAGGCACCAACAAACACCATATTTTAACCTATTTCGGTATAACGGGACCGAACCACCAGTCTTCCGCTGTCTGTGCAAGATCTATATCCATAGGCTGCTTCACAAACTCTAGGGGTCTGTGGGGTATCCGAGTGGTTGAAGCGTTCGCTCGTCACGCCGCAGACCCGGGTTCGATTCCCCACATGGGTACAATGTGTGAAGCCCGTTTCTGGTGGTCCCCCGATACGATATTACTCGAATATTGCTAACAGCACCGTAAAACCATTCTCACGTACTCACTCACTCACTCACAAACTCTAGAGAATAACGAACTTCTATATCAAGGCTAGAATGATTTGCAAGTCTCGATTGCCTTAGTTCTGGGTCTGAAATTAATATATGTTCTTGGATTCATTTAGATTGTATTTTACATATTTGTAGATATATATTTTCAGATACGATAACAAGGAACTAAATGTCAGCCTAGCTCTATATAGCATCAATACTACGCCATTACTCGACGAGTTGGTGTCCACTGGGATCCATCACAAGGCGCAGTTACAGAAATTTAATCTCTCATGATTAAGTCTAATCTCTGAGCCCTGACTACAGCAAACAATTCAGGATCCAATAACAAACGATGTGAAGCCATCGTGCTTCAGTCTGGCGGTGAGTGCAATTCGAGACAACACACAACCCGCGGCTGATCGTAGCGTACGCAATCCCGACATTTCCTACAATCGGAAGTTCACGGCAACCTCCGTAACTCACCTCGCGTGTGTTCTGACAGCAAGGAGGGTTTGGCCGTCAGTAATAGCTGCGTATTAAATCAGCTGTCAGCCAAAAGTACGGATATGAGGCTCATAATGATAAGGGTGATGGTGATTATTGTTATGATAATGCCACTGATGATGATGATGATGATGATGATGATGATGATGATGACGGCGACGACGACGACGACGATGATGATATTAAAAATATTTTACAGATACTTAACATTAACGAATCACTCGGGAATGAGACCGTAACCTATGGATACTGCATGAATAAGAAAGCCATTGACACTGCCCGTGTCGTCTCTCCGGAAACGGAGTTAGCCATATTTAAACATGATGAATAAACGTCCTTGGTGTCCATAGTACTTCCTAGAAAACTGGCATCACGTGATGCGATCCCATCACTTACGGCCTTATAACATAGCGTTCCCATAGTAACGGTAACGGATATAGAAACGGTTTCCTGAAGCAGATAACAAATCTTAATCTTGAAGCGTTTTCGACGAAATATATATCTCGCGAAGTTCCTTGACATGCCAATGACCCCACAATGTATTCGTCACATGATGGTGTGTATTCTACCTCCTGGATAGGCAACAACCCTAGCACACATACATAAACACACAAAACGTGTTTGGGGTGCAAAAAAAGCAGGAGTAGATGAAACTTATGAAAATGAAAATATTTGTTTCCTTTTACTCATAATTTAGGTAAATGAGCAAGTACCAAGGCCGTACACATATATACACGTGCTAAACATCTTCTATAAATCCCAAATATAATATATGTTACATTTGACCACTTTCTAAATGGCATATTTTTGTGTATTTCATAGCTTTCGGCCGTGGGAGCCGTGCCAATTAACACTAATCAGAGGGGTACACAAAGTCCGCAGTCTAGACTACCAGTTGTCCGACTTCCATTTTTGTGAAAGTCGCGGTAG